ACGAGACCTATTTGAAGAGAAAACTAGGCCGAAAAAATTAAAAATCCAGGAGCACGCGCATTTAATAAATAGATATCTCGTAATTGTACTCTTTTAATATCGAGAAAATACCAGAAGTTTCTCGTGCATTTAAAAACCTTATAAAAAGCGAGAGGAAAACCTCTCAGTTCAGTCCAACCAGGTGCCTTCTCAAGATCACATGACTCTCCTCTGACTGCCTTCACGCCAGCATAGCGCAAGACGCAGAACATCCTTCGTACAGACTTTACAAACTCATGAACTTTCATTTTGTTTGACTTTCGCCCCTGTGTGCTGATGTACTAATGCACATCTTTATTAATTTTAAACCTAGCAAACGTATAATGGTTTTCATTTTCATAATACTGGTAAAAACCCTTGGAGGTTGAAGCCAAGATAAAGATACAATCAAAAAAGAAAAAGATCTCAGATCAGTTGTTTAGAAAACTGTTGTTGTTTACTGTAGCGAATTCGCGGTTAAATCGGATTAGCTTTCTCTATTTTGAATTAGTTCTGTTAAACGATTTGGTAGTGTAAAAGATAACTACTGCGAGATATTGCAATATGGGTACGAATATCTGAGGAGATGTAAGCATTTTGTTTTTATTTGTTGTGATAAAAATAAATTTTATTCCCTTTTCATCGTACTTGTGCATTCAATTTATTACGAACCCGTACTCACGCAACAATATATTTAATTTATAATTAATTCACTTATAACTTTTACGAATATTTGCAGCTTTACTGAAATTAAATAAAACTTCTAAACGTTATGCATTATATACTTAAGTATGTGGTTGGTTGTTTTTTAAGTCACAGGTCCTGCACTCAATCAGTACATTTTTAAATTTCTGTGTAAGCTTTTTTAAAATATTTTTGCAGATAAGGTTAGAGAATCTGTGAGCCACGTGGAGATCACTTTTTAAGTGGAGGAAACGCCAGAGACTTTTCTACTTTCAGCTTTGAGGTGACGAAATGTCGTGCACGGATTCGAATTCTTTATTTACAAATCGTGTTCATGCATTTATAAACGGTTATGAGTGTCTGAGTAATATTAAGGGATTGCGTAGTGTAATTTTTCTTATTTCTTCTTTACATGACTTGAAAATACATCAGAACTCCCTTTATCCGTATCTTTCGTCCTTTTTAGGCCAAATTAAATCTGCTGTTTTTTTATACATTTTTTTAATTTCAACGTTTAATAATACAAAAAAAAAAAAAAAAAAAAAAAAAAAAAAAAACAATAATAATTAGTATTTAAAATATTAAAAAGCATCCAAAGTGGATTTTTTTTTCTTTGTGTGTGTGTGTGGATTTTACTATTTTTAAACTTAAGGGAAAAATTACATTTTCTGCCAAAATTCTGCATCAAACTGCAGTGAAAAATATTCATTCTTTGACGAATTTATAATCAACTGTTTACTTACTAAAAATATTTCTTAAATATTCAAATCTTTTTAATTAAATTTAATTAACAGATACCCTTACACTATTTGTCAATCAATTTTCAGTTTCAAAAATACGCTATACCCCTGACTCTGGTCGTCCAGTAGTAAACACGGAATGTCCTCTTTCACTGATTATATTCTGCATATGAAATGTCTCGAAGTTATTAGTTCTTCAGAAATCTATTAAACATCTGATCAACATTTTTTTTTTTTTTCCGCTTTAAATGCTTACCTATTGTATGCTTTCCAAATAATCATTGCATAAATTTCCAGATAACCATCGATGTGTTTCTTCAGAAAATGATTTTATTGTTCGCAACACTCGAGAAAACGTCTTTCCTCAACTACCCACTTTTTCCTGAGCTACCTGATGTAATCTTGATCTTCGTAGCTTTCTTCATGTGCGAGTATCATGACTTTCAATAAAAATCAAAAACAGTTGTTGCCAGACTAAAAAATTAGAGTGGCACGTGAGCTAGATTGATTTCTAAGAATTCAATGAATAGGATCCCCATGACTAGAATGTTATAAGCAATGTTTCAATACTCTAAATTAGTTCATCGAATACTGGGGCCAATTATGTTGAAAAAATATTTACCCTGTACCTAAAGATTTTCTGACATCCACATGTACACTAGATTTATCGCCTTTAAACTGAATAGACCAGGGGTTCCCAAGCTTTTTCAGTGCGCGGCGCACTTACAGTTTCGTTATTTTCTCACGGCGCTCCTGTTGCAATATTTCTACCATAACGTTAATCAGGTACAGAAATAAAAACAACATTTTAGTGAAAAAGTACAATAATGTTAATTGATAAGAAAACATACAAATAACAGAAACCTTCAGTATCAAATTAGAAACTCATTATGACAGAAGAGTTTGTTGATGCCCGTACAGTTTTTCAAATCGTGGAAGATGGCTTGATACAGCTATTCACATTTATTTTCGAATGATATTTGGTCTTCATTAGAGCGATAGCTGAAAACCAGGCTTCGTACAGATAGGATATAGCAAAGGGAATGAGGCTCCTTAGAGCTTTAGAACTTAAAATTGAATACTCAATTTTGGTTGAAATCCAAAACTTCTAATTAAAACTCTCTTCGTCTTGCGAGTGAAAAGGATCTTGGATCAACATAAATTTCTCTACATTACCTTCCGCAAAGTATTTTGCGAACCATTCAGTGAGCTTTGAAAGGTGTTCCATGAAAAGGGACAGCAATTCCTATAAAACGAAGACTATCAGAAGTTGTGTATTGGTACAACGTACAAAAACAATCTTGAGCACCATCGTCATTCAATTGTTTTATCCACAACTGCAGGTTTTTCCTAAACCCTGAAATTTTTTCTACAAGTTTCAAGATGTGCTGCCCTGTAGTAACAGATTCAAGATTGCCAAAATGTCGCCCTAATATGCTAGTGTCAGCAAAATGTCTAGCTCGGCAAAATTCTTAGCGATCGCATTACCTTTCTCATGCAAGTGTGAATTTCTTAACACTCCGAACGCATGAGACAGGACGCTGTTACGCGAAAGAAATCGTAAACTGCAAAAAATTGCTTTCAGCGGTCTAGTTTTTATGTAGTTCCCTAAGTCTATGGACGCATTCTGCCATACTCAAATGAGGACTAAGCGACTTCGATGCAAATGAATCCCAATAGATAATGTGGGTCCACACAGCATGTGGTGTTTCGCTGTTAATAAATGCTTGCAGTCCCGCATAGCGACCGTATAATGATTGAGCATCATCACTACATACACAGATACACTTTTTCCAATCTAACTCATTTTCCATTATAAACATGTCAAGTATTTTGAATAAGCTTTACGTTCTTGCTGAGCTCGCAGTCTACCAGTCTGCTCTTGAACGGACTCCTGTTAACCTTTTTTTTTTTTTTTTGGGGGGGGGGGTCATTTTTAGCTTCATTAGTAATCGTTGTTTTCTTCGCAATTACGCCACATACAGTTCAATGAAACAAATCGCAAAATTCTTAAAAGCTGCATAGCAGCATTTGTTTAGAATTCTCCGATGCAGTGTTAAGTGTTGGCATGTATTTTTATATTTTTTCTCAGTTTATCATATCAGTATTCAGTTTTCTCAGTTGTGAAATCTAACAAAATTTTTTATTTTATCTTTTTATTATTAACGTTTTGTGTACTAACTTTAGCTATTAAATATCACGTTCTTCGCACTTACCCCAAATAAAATTCAATTCGACAGCAAAATCAGAAAATATTTAAAAATAGCATATCTTTAGAATTCCCGATAGAGTGTTAGAGGTTGCCATACATATTTTTATGTTCGCTATTCCTTTAAAAACTGGCCGCCTAAAATTGCTGTCATAAAAAATGAATATAAAATGATTTTAGTGAGTTCAACCAGTGTAATTTCATAATAATATTGAATATTTCTAATCAGACATCTTTTAAATCACATTAGAAAGTAGAAAAATATTCTTATGAACTATATTTATTATTCAGTAGCCATCCAGATTAAATTTGAAAGTATCTTAGACTTTACTGAATGGCGACACGGTCGCACTTGAAAGATAAAAGTATTTTATTTTTTGCCGCATTCATACAGCCGAGTTTATTAAATAAGACTGAAAGATAAATATCGTAAATTTTTCCGAATGGCAATAGTCTTGCGCACTGAAAATAAAAATGCTTTATTTCGAACAGTGCTGCCACTGCTTGCTTTCAGATCGTCGAGTTTGTTAATAAAAAATTAATTAAAATTTTACAAAATATGAAATAAATACTAAAACAAATTCGAAATTCAAAATTCGATCTTCCAGTGCCAATGTTCAGATAGAGATTACGTCATTCAAAATTTGATGTCTCTAGATTTTTTTCATAATGCGAGGAACATGCATATTCTTCATTCTTTGTCTTTAAAAACAATACAGGGCGATAATATTTGGTGGCTAACAATCTGAAAAGTGATATGCCGTTTATAGTGATTCGACGCAAAATCCCATTTCCAAACTAATTGTCCATTTTGGGCTAAAAATATCAAAGGTCGGATCATTGAAAGGAAAACTCACAACGTCTAAGACGACTCTTCTAAAACTATGGAAATACGGGACATAAGGTGTATCACGATGAACTTCCGGTATAAATCCTGCGTACCGATTTATTAGATGCTCGTTCACAGCTCCCACGCCATAGCATACTAAATTAGGTAGCATTTACAAAATGTTTTCAGTCAAAAACTCTAGTCCATAATGGGTAATATTTGTTTAGAAGAAACATATGCTCTCGTGTGGAGTTGTTCTCCATCTCCTTCGTATAGTAAAACTTTAACATAGCCTGTCACTAAAAATGTCATTAACAAAACTGAAATCGGGAGGCTACTTTTAAATGATACGTATCCAATTATACTTTTTGAAAAATTTCAGAAATATTTTACACTCACTTTCCTCCCCTTTCCCAAATAAAAATATTTTTTAATTTTAGCAATCTCAAGGATGCTCCCAAAATGAGAAACTTTTATAACTGGACCTCGCTCGCAGACGGAAGAAAGAATACAAAGCACAAATTTTATCAACAGTTTATTAAACTATTCAATACCAAAAACAATATTGGTGCATCAAAATTTTCTATCGTACAATAACAACCACAGAAGAATAACAAGTAATTACTACAGTTTCATACATGAAAGTCCATTGAAACTAAAAAGTAAATAAGCTCAACTGTTGAGAGCATCTGGTTGGATCCTGAAAATTACATTCAGTCATAAAGCAATATTATTAATAGAGAGCAACATACTACTTCCAAAAATGAATATTTCTTTTTTTGGTCAATTTTTACATATAACATGCTGTAATTTTATTGATAATTACTCATAAAAATATAAGAAGCTACCGCTTGTTAATTTTTCCTGGAGTTAATGGCATATTATAGAATTATAAATTTATTTTCAAAATCATTACATATATTTTATAATTATTCTCTTTTATAATAGTTCATTAAAAACAAAATTAAGATACTTAAAATTAGTGTTTCTAGTTCATTAATGTCAATTTTTATTTTACATTCATATTCGTTCCTAAATCATAAAATTTTGATGCATGCAAAATATCATGTATCAAAATTTAAAATTTCTACAGGAAAAAAAGACGGAAAAAGGTTAAAAAAATCATCTTGCGAATAAATTTATAAAGTGTATCATTTTATGCGATGATGATTTGTTTTTTTACAGGAAACTATGCAAAATGACGTAATTCTGAACATATTCAAAAAGTTGTTATTTTCAATGTACGATGTTTTGAACCTGAACAAATACACATCAGATAATGTTTTCAAAATAAGACGCGATGAAAGAAAACAAACTTCCTCTTCCAAAAATGTTGGCTACACAAACACACACAAGAAAAAAATGAACAATTATTCTAAAGAGAAATCTTATGCAAAATTGGTCCCTAGGATGAAATATTTCATAGAATTTAGAAAAGCACTCTTACTTATTCCCAGAAAATTTACAGTTTTATACTTAAAAAATTTTGAAGTCTTCCAATTATTTACCGCACAGCACTTTTCTGGAAAAACAATTATAATACTTTTATGACTGATATATATATATATATATATATATATATATTCCAGGTACAAACTGATACCTTAAAATTAAATATTCTATGCATAATAAATTAAAGTTAAGTACTAAATCTGTAATACTTTAAGCGTTTTCGAAAGGAATTTAAGTACTCAGTAGAACACTTCCGAGTTTCATAACTAATCCTGTCCTTTAGCAAAAGCAGCAGCAGGGAATGAAATTAACTGTTTTCAAGCACTCCTCGAATAATTAGTTAATTACTTATTTAAAGAGCAAGAAACGATTGTTTTGTTTCGAAATGCGCATTCAGAACTGTTTTCATCAGTATGATAGGCACACTAGGCACTTCAAATTGAGGACACGTAACCAAGTTCCACGTTTTACACTCAAATTAAAAATAATGGCTTTAAATTAAAATAATTACTTTTAGATGCCTTGCAAGAAGTAGCACAGATGAAAGCTCAGTACAATAAATAATTCATATTTTTTACTCATTCCTAAAAGACTTTATAAGAAAATTTAAAGAATTAAGTTAGGTTTCATAAAGCGCATTCACATTTGTACGAAATCGGTAAAGAAACTGCAATAAAATGTTAAAGAAAATTCAATCAATCAAATCTATCAGTCGGACTGTATATGTATAAATACACACACATAACAAACGCATTTATATAAATTTATGCGAGAGCACAATTATATTCTTGCTTGAGATAAGAGATTACTTGAGCAAATGCATCTCAGGATGCATTCGAACTGTCAGTTAATGTTAATTACGCTATACAAAAAGATGATAAAAATTGCAAATACAAAGTAATTAAGAAAAAAGTAATAGGATACAGAAATATACTGACAAAAGAAGTTTGGACAAGTGAGGCAGCTTTTAAACCAAATTTGCCAGTAACAGTTTTGTACATTCTTTCAAGAAGCCAAAACAAAACTCGTGGGGCAGTCACAGAAGAATCTATCTCAGTAAATACACGATGCGAAATATTTCATTGGCAAATATAAGACGCAAGTACAGCTAACGTATAAACATTTTTTTGGATGGAGGTACCAAATGTTCGGGCAATTCAAGAGGTAAATCATGACCTTGCAATTTGATATTGATGAGATGCATGGCTAGCGCAAACTCATCAGAATCTAACATACCGTCCTTATCTATATCTGAGAGCTTCCACACTTTGCCCAAGACGGTATTGGGTAATTTGGATTTAATCATCTCAGCTTTAGCACTGGCGCCTGTGATTTTGCCATCTACAGGATTTAGACTTTGAAAGATATCGTCATATTTGTAACGCTCTTTACCTACGATCCATTCTGAATCCATTGATCCTGCATCTATGCCTTCTCCTCTGCCAAAGGTAAAGGGGCTCTGTTGAACTCCATCAAAGGCACCACCTTTCACATTTGATTCCTCACTGGACTGAAGACGTTGCTCTTGCGGAATCTGTGCCATCAAACGTGCAATATCTTCAGCTAACATTTTGTCAACTGTTTCCAAAAGTTTGGGCTTTAGAGGGTGAAACTTGGTGAAGTCCATGTCAACCAACTTCTCTTGCATTTCCCTCAGGTCTGGAAAATCCCCCGGTGGCAAATGATGTTCTCGCTGTATCTCTTCATAAACATTGTTCAAGTTCTTAATAAGTTCTTTTTTCTTGCTGTCTTTGCCAAACATAGATGGCATATTACTACGCAGAGAACTGATGATGTAAGCATGAACCTAAAAAGAAAGAAAAAAATTATAAGCCTGTTGGCGCTAATTTCTATCAAAAAAAAAAAAAAAAAAAAAAAAAAGAGAACAAATTTTACAAGAATGTTCAATCCGATTAAGTGGAAATTCAGAGCATACAGTATGATAAGATGGGATAAATATACACAAATCAGACTTAATTTTAATGTAAAATTAAAATACAAAAATATTTCACATATATTTATAAAAATCTTACTCCAACAATTTTTAGACAAAGATACACAGACTTTTTCGCTTTTTGCTTACTATAAAAAATCCTTGCTCTTGCAATATTACGAACGAAATGCTAAATTAATCTTTCAGAACTTAATTTTTTTTGGAAATATAACAATTCGTAATGGAATTATTAAATATATATATCTATAACAAATAATTGAAATGGAAGGGAAAATAACACATTTGGATATTCGACCATACTACCAATAACTTATTTGCATCTTTTGGTAATGTTGCAACTCAACTCTTGCTGAGTGACGTCATCTCGAACTATGAACTCTCGCTTAGAGATTGCACGAGAACTCGGAACGGAGAAGTCGCACGCTGCGTCGTGCCACATTTAAACACTTTTCCTTATGTAAAATATTCTGTAACCCGTTTTGCGTCTTCATTAATATGTTTCGTGTAAAGAAAGTATTTATCATTTATGGATTATTTCCTTCAAGATTTTGCAGATAGAGATGCACAGAGGAAAATTCAACCAGTGGCCCTGGCAGAACCGATTGGAACAAGGTAAACAGTTTTGTTTTACCTTGATTAATTAGTTAGAAGTAACGATAACGATAGAATAATAAATAATAATAGATTAGTATTTATTAAACATATTGTTTCGAAATGTCCAGAACGGTAAGATAGCTTCCCCGCAAAGCAGTTTTAGGATAAAACAGCAAGGAAAGCTGGGTTGCCACATTTGGCGAGAAATCGCCCATTTGGCGACAAAATTGGCGATATGCCACGGACGGATGGAGAACCTTCTGGAACGAATTCTTACTGGTTTAGCCCAGAATGTTCTCGAACACAAGCCGAAAGCTATATAAACCCTGCTGGTCCGCAGTCAGTTAGTGTGCCTCGTCGAGAGGGCGAGAATGTCTGCCTCGCATAGAGTGCGAGTTAGTCAGTATCCAAGTTGGTGTCTCGTCTAGCGAGCCAATTCCTGCGAAGTCGATCGAGTTGACAGCCGGACAGCGAGTGCCGAGTAGGTCGTCGAGTACACTGAAAGAGTCTCGTAGTGTATCGCGGTTAGTGCATTGTCGAGAGAGCCTGTTGAGCTCCGGGAACGACTGAACCGTAGAGTCGGAAGCTGTGCTCTGTGTGTCGCCGAGTGCATCGCGAGTTGTTGTGTGGAGAGTCGGGAGCTGTACTCTAGTGCTTTGCCACCGTGATAGCCTGATAACCTGGAGGCTGTGTCGCTGATCGTGTCAGCATGTTTATAGCAGTTCACGACGACTGTAAAAACATGTTTTGGAGCTGCCCTGACAAAACACTGGCCAATAAAAGTGTGTTTCGATACTTCATCAAGAAGTGTCGTCGTCATTCACTCCAAATCCACACGAACTTCGTAACGAATGTAACAGCTGGTGTCAGAAAATAACGCAACAACTAGTGTCAGAAGTGGGATTTGCGAATGAATGCCAGTGACCCGCCTCAAGAAAAAAAAGCCATGGCGGAGGAAACGAAGACTTTGAGGCTGAAATGAAAGCCGGATTGGCTGAGATAAAAGCCAGATATGATACGATGAAAGCTGGACGAGAAGAGATAAAAGCTGGATATAAAATGATGACAGCTGAGATCAAAGCTGGACTGAAAGAGATGAAAACCGGACTGGAAGAGATGAAAACCGGACTGGAAGAGAAGAAAGCCCGACGAGAAGAAATAAATGTCGGCCAAGAAAGGGTGCGAGAGCAACTCCAACAGGTGAAAGTAGAGCTTACAGAAGAAACTGGAGCCATAAAAGACGATATGGAAATGATAGAAATGGTATCTGAAGAATCAAAGGATGAAGAAATGAAGGAAGTAGCTAATGAACTGTCTGAGGAAGATCAAGAAATGGAAGATGAAACAACTAATGGGATTAAAGAAAAAGAATGAAAACATGAAGAAATAAAAGATGGGGAAGAAGCTTTTGATTCTCAAGTGCCTGAAGTGGAAGAAATTGAAAATGAGACTGTTCAGTTCGTCGAAACTGATAGTGAAGTTACGAAGTCGCAGGCAGCAAGTGTTGAACTATCTGAAAGTGCATGTGATGCAGAGATGGGAGAAGCTGATGTACAGCTTCATAAGAAGTGCCCTCTAATATTGCAAGAAAATTCACCCACCTCGCAAATTATGTGTGCGTCTCATAGTGCAGATTTTGCAGACAAGGACTTGATTCTTAATCCGGATACTTCTGCTTGTAAAGGATCGGATTCTATTCGCGACCCTGGTGCAGACATCGGAACTGGTTCCCAGGAAACGGAGGAAAATAAGCGTGTATCAATTGCTAAAATTACCGAGGTGAACTGTGTGCCTGCTGCGAATGAACTACAGAGTGGTGAACAACGTGTTTCACATCTTCCTGATGAACGACAAGTCTGAAAGGACCGAATCTTCAGACAGTGATATGCAAAACAGAAACACATCTGAGAACTGCTGTGGAAAAGTACTTGACCCGGGTATATTTTAATGAAAAGACTGAGACTGAAATTCATTCTTAACTTTAATTTGTATAATTTAAAATTGTTATGTATAATTTAATTGTATAATTAATTATATTACATATAAGTTACATATTAATATAATAATACAAATTAAATTATTTGCATAATTTAATTTGTGTATGTAACTTGTACATAGTGTAAATATTTGTTTCTTTAGTTATGTTATTTGTTTGTTTTATTATGTTTTGTGTGTATCGAATTTGTCTTCTGACCAAGGGTTGTACTGCCCGGGACGTGCAGTCCTTATCCGTACAAACGTGAAGGCAGAAAAGAAAAACGCAACAATATTTTTGTCGTCGATAGACTGATTAAACAAGTTTTTGCTCCTTCTCCGACGGGTATAGTTAGCAATCGCATCGAACAGACTATTATTCTCCGCAGCTTGGTTCAGCCACCAAATGAGCTCTGCTATAAATTAAAAAGGCTTTTTCCATTAGTGTGGTCCGTATGCGTTGCGTATGTAGTTCTCCAATCAGCGAAATTGATTTTGATTGACATATGTGATGACTGGAGACAGATCACATGGAAATGAACAATATTTAATTTCTTTCCATATGTCAGCGGAAGCTCTGGATTCATATGCTGAAAGAGGAGCATCGCCAGGAATCAACTAAAAATACAAAATACAACAAAAAATAACGGTGGTAGAAGTAGCGATGAGTTTTAGGGAAACAATATGTTTCTTAAAAAAAAACTGTTTCTGAATTTCCGAAATATAGATATCATAGCGAGATATTTGCGTACTGAAGGAGACTTTAATTTAATTAATTGTTACGCCATTAATGCAATTTATAAAAAATCAATGCAACTACAGTGCTAGTTCACATTAGTGATCAGTATTAAAGATATTATTCAGCTGTAGAAAATATAATTTTCTGCTCATGAATCAACAAAATTTTGCCGGACAAGTATTTCTCAGTTCTAGTTTCGTATATACATTTCCTTTTTGAAGAAGGGGAATTTTGACTGTCTCAAACTGCTGTGAGCAAATGTGATATGTATTATCAGAATTTTTTTGAAACAGGTAAAAACTTAATAATGTACTTCAGAAAATATTTTTGATAGTTTTTTAAATACATAATTTTATTAAATAATACATCAAGTTTGTATTTTTCTATATATATATTCTTTTATAAATGCATTTAATATATAATACATTAATACATTTAAATACAGCATCTAAAATATAAATTCGCCTCTGGTTTCTTAATAACGATAAAAAGAAAGTAAAACGATTCTTTCATACAATGATAAGTTGTTTAATCTCAGTTTGTAAATTTAGGAAAAATTAATATATATAAAAATCTGATATTACTTTTTTTTTGGTGAGTACATGAATTGCATTTTTTTTTTTTTTTGTGTTTTATTGTCAAACATTATATTAGCACATTTTTGCATTCGTTACTCAGAAAAGTAAAAAAGTGTACATCCTAAAAAGACTGAATTTTAAAAAGAAAGAGAAAAAATAATAAATTAATACCTGACGATAAAATTGTAAAAATAACCACATTACGAAAATAATAAAGATACAGATTTTTACTGTGTTTGCTTAATTCTACTCACGGTTTTGAACAGCAAAACTTACATAGAACTCACAGGTGCAACTTCAGCAGACAGAACTTTATCTACTAAAATTGTTAAATTATTTTAGACGCTATTTCTGATCCTTAAGTACGGTTTCTAAGTAATTCACAGAAGATAAGAATTATTTTCCTGAATTAATATTTTTCTCCCAAAAGAGCAAAACGAAACAAGGAAAAATTTCATTAAAAAGTTATTTATTATTTTAAAAAGCGTCAGGCTCGTCAGATTACAAGAAAACTATTGAAGCATGAAAAATGAAATTGTAAAGTAAATCCCCATTATAGTGTCACATTTCCTGACAAGCTCAGCTTTAAAAAAAATAATCGCCTTCGTTTTGAAAGAACATCTACCCGAATAAGTAACTACATATGCGCAAGTTTATTTTTATTTTTTCGGCTCGATCAACGGAAGAACGGAGCAGTAAACGAAAATGATGCACGTGTGGGCGAATGGGAAGCACTGAACAACAGACCACTTTGTTTGGGCTTGAACGGCTTGACAGCGTCCGGAATTTCTAGCCGCCTTTATGTCTCTCAAGAGTGCACTTAATGCACCGTACTAACGATTCAAATACTATGGACAGGCAAATATGCTCTTGTTCTTAAGTACAGCAACTGGCGCACTTTACCTTCTTATTTGGTGACATACTAGGTCATCAGGAGTGCCGGCTTTAAATTTTATGATGAATTCAAG